ATACGAAAAAGTCTCTTGGAGCCATATCTCAAACCCAACAGGAAGTCGGATATTTTTAACTTCCTGCGGCGAAAAAGTGGCGTTTTTGCCATTTCCAGGCGTTGTATTTTAACGAACTCCTCCTAGGGATTTTATCCGATCTACACCAAAATTGGGTTTTGTCATCTAAAGGCCTTGGCGATGTTAAATTGCGAAGCTTTAGAGTTTTCGTCGATGGGCGTGTCCGTGGCGGCCTCGCAAACTTTGACGATTCGCCACAAAAGAGGAAGTAGTTATAACTCAGGCATGCATTATCTGATCTGCCTCAAAACACACACGCTTGATAAGCGTCCTGACCTGAACAAGTTTACATGCCGATATCCAGATACAGTTATAGCGCCACCTGCTGGCCATAGGAAATGACATGATTTACGGAGTTATAAACTCCTCCCACAAATTTTATCGTATCAACACCAAAATTGAGTGGTGTTATCTGAAAGCTCTAGCGATGTTATATTGTGAAGATCTAGAGTTTTCGCAGAGGGGCGTGTCCGTGGCGGTATGACAAACCTCAACGCTTCGCCATGGAACAGGAAGTCCTTATAACACAACCACACAATGTCCGATCTGCCTGAAACTTCATATGGTTGATAAACGTCATCTCTTGAACACATCCACATAACAATTAGTGAAGTGGGCGTGGCAAAATGACTCGACAGCGCCACCTAGAAAAATTAAACCGACGAGCCCCCGATCTGCGAATCACGCACATGCACAAAAATTGGCACACACCTCAAACATGGCAAAACATACGAAAAAGTCTCTTGGAGCCATATCTCAAACCCAACAGGAAGTCGGATATTTTTAACTTCCTGTGGCGAAAAAGTGGCGCTTTTGCCATTTTCAGGCGTTGTATTTTAACAAACTCCTCCTAGGGATTTTATCTGATAATTACCAAAATTGGGTTTTGTCATCTTAAAGCCTTGGTGATGTTAAATTGCGAAGCTTTAGAGTTTATCGATGGGCGTATCCGTGGCGGCCTCGCAAACTTTGATGATTCGCCACAAAACAGGAAGTCTTTATAACTCTGGCATGCAATATTCGATCTGCCTCAAAATTCAAACATTTAATAACAGTCCTGACCTGATCAGGTTTACGTGCCGATATCTAGTTACAGTTATAGCGCCACCTGCTGGCCACAGGAAATGACATGTTTGACACTGTAACAAACTCCTTCCACAAACTTTCACGTTACAGCACCAAAATAGAGTGGTGTCATCTGAAAGCTCTAGCGATGATATATTGTGAAGATCTAGAGTTTTTGCAGAGGGGCGTGTCTGTGGTGGCATGACAAACCTCAACGCTTCGCCATGGAACAGGAGTTTCTTATAACTCAACCACACAATGTCTGATCTGCCTGAAACTTCACATGATTGATAAAAGTCCTCTCCTGAACACATCTACATAACAATACTGAGTCAGTCATAGCGCCACCTGCTGGCAGAAGAAATTTTGGCTTGTAACTCGGCCACACAATGTCAGATCTGCCTAAAATGTCACATGGTTGATGAAAGTCCTCTCCTAAACACATCTACATAATATTATTGAGTCTTTCATAGCGCCACCTGCTGGCAGAATGTAGTTTGTCTTAAAACACAATCTCCACACAATCTCTGATCTGCCTGAAACTTCACATGGTTGATAAAAGTCTTCTCCTGAACACATCCACATAACAATATTGAGTCAGTCATAACGCCACCTGCTGGCAGAAGGTAGTTTGGCTTATAACTCAGCCACACAATGTCCCATGTGCCTGAAACTTCACATGGTTGACAAGTTTCCTCTCCGGAAGACATCTACATGCCAATCTTAAGTCACAGTTATAGCGCCACCTGCTGACAGGAGGAAGTTTGGCATAAATCTGTGATTTTCTTAGATCTTTTTTTATATATTGGCTTAAATTATTATTGTTCGCTGTTCTCTGTCATCGTAAGGTCACCGGGCGGCGGTGAGCCCGGGTGCGAGGTCCCTATCATCGCTGCTTGCAGCTTTAATTCTTCTTCTTCTTCTTCTTCTTCTTCCGCGGAATGAATCGCGGTTTTGAGGGGCTAAACATGCCCGAAAACTCACGAAACTTCGCACACGCCTCAGAAGTGGTGAAAATTTACGTTTATTATGGGTCTCGGAAAGGGGTGTGGCAAAATGACTCGACAGCGCCACCTAGAAAATTTAAACTGACGAGCCCCCGATCCACGAATCACGCAAATGCACGAAAATTGGCACACACCTCAAACACGCCAAAACATACGAAAAAGTCTCTTGGAGCCATATCTCAAACCCAACAGGAAGTCGGATATTTTTAACTTCCTGCGGCGAAAAAGTGTCATTTTTGGCATTTCTAGCCGTTGTATTTTAACGAACTCCTCCTAGAGATTTTATCCGATTGACACCAAAATTGGGTTTTGTCATCTAAAGGCCTTGGCGATGTTAAATTGCGAAGCTTTAGAGTTTTCGTCGATGGGCGTGTCCGTGGCGGCCTCGCAAACTTTGACGATTCGCCACAAAACAGGAAGTCGTTATAACTCAGGCATGCATTATCCGATCTGCCTCAAAATTCACACGTTTGATAAGAGTCCTGACCTGAACAAGTTTACATGCCGATATCCAGATACAGTTATAGTGCCACCTGCTGGCCACAGGAAATGACATGTTTTACATCGTAACAAACTCCTCCCACAAATTTTTTCGTATCAGCACCAAATTTGGGTTGTGTTATCTGAAAGCTCTAGCGATGATATATTGTGAAGATCTAGAGTTTTCGGAGAGGGGCGTGTCCGTGGCGGCATGACAAACCTCAACGCTTCGCCATGGAACAGGAAGTCCTTATATCTCAAGCACACAATGTCCGATCTGCCTGAAACTTCACATGGTTGATAAAAGTCCTCTCCTGAACACATCCTCATAACAATAATGAAATGGGTGTGGCAAAATGACTCGACAGCGCCACCTATAAAAATTAAACGGACGAGCCCCTGATCTACGAATCACGCACATGCATGAAAATTGGCACACACCTTAAACACGCCAAAACATACGAAAAAGTCTCTTGGAGCCATATCTCAAACCAAACAGGAAGTCGGATATTTTTAACTTCCTGCGGCAAATAAGTGGCATTTTTGCCATTTCCAGGCTTTGTATCTTAACGAACTCCTCCTAGGGATTTTATCCTATCGACACCAAAATTGGGTTTTGTCATCTAAAGGCCTTGGCGATGTTAAATTGCGAAGCTTTAGAGTTTTCGTTGATGGGCGTGTCCGTGGCGGCCTCGCAAACTTTGACGATTTGCCACTAAACCGGAAGTCATTATAACTCAGGCATGCATTATCCCATCTGCCTCAAAATTCACATGTTTAATATAAGTCCAGACCAGAACAAGTTTACATGCCGATATCCAGATACAGTTATAGCGCCACCCGCTGGCCACAGAAAATGTCATGATTTACAAAGTAATAAACTCATCCCACAAATTTTTTCATATCAGCGCCAAATTTGGGTGGTTGTGTATCTAAAAGCTCAAGCGATGATATATTGTGAAGATCTAGAGTTTTCGCAGAGGGGCGTGTCTGTGGTGGCATGACAAACCTCAACGCTTCGCCATGAAAAAGGAAGTCCTTATAACTCAACCACACAATGTCTGATATTCCTGAAACTTCACAGGATTGATAAAAGTCCTCTCCTGAAGACATCTACATGCCAATATTGAGTCACAGTCATAGCGCCACCTGCTGGCAGAAGGTAGTTTGGCTCATAACTCAGCCACACAATGTCCGATCTGCCTGAAAGTTCACATGGTTGATAAAAGTCTTCTCCTGAACATATCTACATAACAATATTGAGTCAGTTATAGCGCCACCTGCTGGCAGAAGGTAGTTTGTATTATAACTCAGCCAAACAATGTCAGAACTGCTTGAAACTTCACATGGTTGATAAAATTATTCTCCTAAAGACATCTACATGACAATACTGAGTCACAGTCATAGCGCCACCTGCTGATAGGAGGAAGTTTGGCATAAATCTGTGGATTTTTAAAGTTTTTTATATATATTGGCTTAAATTGTTATTGTTCACTGTTCTCTGTCATCCTGAGGCCACCGGGCGGCGGTGAGCCCGGGTGCGAGGTCCCTATCATCGCTGCTTGCAGCTTTAATTATTATTATTAATTATGTGTATGTGTCTGTTTAAACACGACATGATTCATGATTAAATGATTCATGATTAAATTCGTGAATGGGAGTGAAGTGACGCAATTGACGCAGGTAGGTCACGTGACCATAACAAAATGGCGAATGTAGTACATCCGAATTCCATTCATACTTTTCACGTTCATACTGTATAGAGCGTACTTTTCTAACGGCCGAGTAGTACGTTTAAATTCAAATGCAGTACCTACTGAGTAGTAGGCGGTTTCGGACGCAGCCTAAGTGTTTTCATGCTTTCATTCCTAAACAAAGTGAAAGCACAGAACAGACTCACAGGGGCGACCCCTGGTGGTTCGGCGGTATGGGTTGCGTAAAGGGAGGCTTCACAGAAAGACTGAAATTACGGGAGAAATACGGGAAAATACCTTTAAGGGATGATAGCGGGATAGAACTGTAAAATACAGGTGAATCCTGGGAAAAATGGGAAGGTTGACAGGTATGAATAAGGCAAGTCACTGAACAACAGCGGTTTGTTCTGAAGACAATTGAAATAAACTTCTAATAATATTGAACTCATAATGAAAACTCTTTTATTCCAGCTAAAATAAAAATAAAAAAAATTATTAAAAATAAATAAATTAAGACTTTCTCCAGAAGAAAATAAATATATAAGAAATACTGTGAAAATGTCCTTGGTGTGTAAAACATCACTTGTGAAATATTTTTATAAGAATGCAAATTTTACAGGACTTAAACTGTATATTAATTGCAATGTCAGTAGTGCGATGCATTGATCAGTAAGTGATGGATGTGAAGCGGTACCTGGCTCTCTCGATGGCCTCAGTGCGATGAACGTTACTCAGCTGGCCCAGACAGAAGCGATCTCCACCAGACGGGTCCACATAACCATCCACCGTCACCACAGGACAGTTGGAGGGCACCTTAAAAGTCTCGCCCACTTGAATGTCCATCTCAAAGTATGCGATTGAGCACCAGTAATCTGGAGCTGCAGAAGACATATATCATGAGCATATTTACAACTTGATCAAGTTCAAGTTCTATTTATTTATATAGCACGTTTCCAACTGCCACAAGGCTGCACAAAGTGCTTTACAGAAAGAAAATAAACACATGATATGAACATAAAACAGTCAAAACAGCAATGGGCACATAATAGGAAGGAACATAGAAAGATTATCAATAAAAGAGCAAAAAATATATAATAAAATAATAATAATAATAATAATTTTTTTCCTAATTAAAAGATGCTATCACAGTTGACCAACACTAAACACGATGGAGAACATGACCATTTTGATCTCCCTCCCCACTAACAACAAAGCACCCCCCCCTGTGTCTTGTGCTTCAAAAGACCTACAAAATAAATGCGTCTTTAATTTAAACTTAAAAATAGGCAGCAGCGAAGCCTTTTTTTAGTTCTAATGGCAGAGAGTTTCAGAGGCGAGGACCTGCTATGGCAAAAGCACGTTCGCCCCTGCTTTTGAAGTGGGCCTTTGGAACTTTTAATAAAAACTGATCAGCGGAACGCAAGTGTCTTAGAGGAGTGTATTTAACAATCAGTTGGGATACATTTATGTGTGACACATAAATAACTTGTGACGCATGTACAGTTAAAGTCAGAATTATTAGCCCCCCTGTATATTATTTCCCCAATTTCTGTTTAACGGAGAGAAAACATTTTCAACAAATTTCTAATCATAATAGTTTTAGTGACTCATTTCTAATAACTGATTTATTTTATATTTATCATGATGACAGTAAATAATATTTCACTGGATATTTTTCAAGACACTTCTATACAGCTTAAGGTGATATTTAAAGTCTTAAGTTAATTAGGTTAAAGTTAGGGTAGTTAGGCAAGTTATTGTATAATGATGGTTTGTTCTGTAGACAATCTGTAGAGAATCGAAAACAAATATTGCTTAAAGGGGCTAATAATATTGTCCTTAAAATGGATTTAATAAAATTAAAAACTGCTTTTATTCTAGCCCAAATAAAACAAATAAGATTTTCTCCAGAAGACAAAATATTATCAGACATACTGTGAAAAATTATGTGCTCTGTTAAACATCATTTGGGAAATATTTGAAAAAAAAAAACAAAATTCATGGGAGGGAGGGCTAATAATTCTGACTTCAACTGTACATTTTTTGAACATTTTATACTGGTTCAAACAAGTTGAGGACAACATTAAATATGCATCTCAATAGCTGGGTTTCCATCACCCTGTTATAATGGGCATTTTTAAATATTGAAAGAAAAACAAGTAATGAAAATGCAAAATTTTTATTAAATTCATTCATTCATTTTCTTTTCGGCTTAGTCCCTTTATTAATCTGGGGTCGCCACAGTGGAATGAACCATCAACTTATCCAGCATATGCTTTACACAGCGGATGCCCTTCCATCTGCACCATAACACAACCTGAATTTTTTTTTTAAAGGGCCATGAAACCCCCTTGTTTCAGCAGGGTGTTTTCACACCTCTACTTTGGAAAAAGTCAGGAAAAGTGGGCGTGTCCAGCTCTGTTTAGGGGGAGTGTCGGAGGAGGGAAAAAGGCAAGGTCCATAAAACTTTGCATAAAAATGGGAGTGTCGGTTTGGGCACACGCTGATTTTCACAGAAGCAAAACAAACACACAGAAGAAAAGTCAGAAAGGCAGTGACTGTGGACATCAGTGATCAAATTATTTGCCAAATTATTAAAGGGTGGACTTTAACTGCAGTTTGGCTCTTTCATTCATGAATTTCATTCATGCCCCTCGTGACAAACGAGATATTAAAAGGAGATGAGCAGCAAATCCAGATTTCACCATTTCCAGATGAGAAAAGCTCTCGGGTAAACAATGTTCCTTAGACACATATTTCTGTCGCCCGTCACGTGCACTGTAATCCACACATGAGTCCAGCTGTGCTCTCAAAGAGGGAAAATGAAAACAAAACCTTCACTGCAGCAAATTATAAAAGCAACACTGACGACCCGTATCTCAAAACAATTCATGTTCTCCCGCTTGGCAACACAACGTGTCGTCTCACTGCCGTCTGAACACTGTAACTGGTAAAAACTGTCTTGGAAGCTATCATGCATATTAAGTAAGTTGCACCTCATACATAATAGAGCGCGCTGATTGGTTTGAACCAAGCCTTTCTCATGAATGAATGCAGCACACTTAGAGACGTAATAAGGCACTCCCAGGTACAGACGTCCAGTCTACACGCTGGAATACACGCTAAGATCTCATGGCCTTCAAAAATTAGTTTCAAACCGGAAGTACGAATTTGCTTGAAATAACTCTAAAACAACCAATTTACACTTTTTAGTGAAATATGTGTGTCCTAATAGTGTTTTTAGCAGTGTGGGACACATATACGACTGTCAACAGCTCAAAAAATGTGTTTTGGTGTTTCATGACCCTTTAAATATTTCCCAAATGATGTTTAACAGAGCAAGGAATTTTTTCACAGTATGTCTGATATTATTTTTTCTTCTGGAGAAAGTCTTATTTGTTTTGTTTTGGCTAGAATAAAAGCAGTTTTTTTTTTTTACATCCATTTTAGGGACAAAATTATTAGCCCCTTTAGGCTATTTTTTCTGATTGTCTACAGAACAAACCATCAATACACAGTAGCTTGCCTAATTACCCTAACCTGCCTAGTTAACCTAATTAGCCTAGTTAAGCCTTTAAATGTCACTTTTAACTGTATAAAAGTGTCTTAAAAATATCTTTAAAAAAATGTATTTACTGTCATCATGGCAATGATAAAATAAATCGGTTATTAGAGATGAGTTATTAAAACTATTATGTTTAGAAATGTGTTGAAAAAACAGAAATTGGGGAAAAAATTAAACGGGGAAGAATAATTCAGGAGGCCTGATAATTCTGACTTGTAGACTGTGGGCTCTACTTTGACGGTCCATGCACAAAGTGCAAAGCGCAGGGCGCAAACGCTTTCAGAATCCACTTTTGCTAGTATAAGGATGGAAAAATCTGCTTTTCGCCGTGGCGCATGGTCTAACAGGGTTGAGCTTATTTTCTTAATGAGTTATAGGTGTGTTTTCAGAATAAGCCAACCAGAGTCTCATCTCCCATTCCCTTTAAGAGTCAGTTGCGTAGCGCCATAAGGCATTTACTTTTTACATGAGGACTTTGTAAGTGGAAAAACTGAGCATTTCACTAGGAAGAAAACAGGTAAACAGAGCATCTACAGCACGAGAATGAGAGATAAGGCAACTCAATCTAGTTTCACTTTCGCTCTCGTGGATAGGGAAACATTGTACGCACAGATATCAATTAACCTATAAATGATTAATTTCGTTTGTTAAGCGCAAAGATTTGTTTCAAAACTATTTCTAAATTCAGTTCTAATTCCCAGCAAACAAATAAATGAACAATAATAACCAAGTGTGCTCAAAACCTGAGTTATATCCAAATACACATTCTGTGCCCCATATGGTATAAAACCTGACCTTGGGTAAATCTAAGCTTATTTAAAAAAAATATATATATATAAATATGCATTTAATAAGTAATTCAGCTAATAATAATAACATTATACAAAAGCAAATTGTCATGAATAAACTGAAAAAGCCCCTCGAGATGAAGGCATGAAAGTATGGTTTTTATATTTATGTAGGCTAGAAAATAATATGTTTTGTAATATTTTAATCATTTATATTTATATCCAATATATATATCCTTATTATATCCTATTAATATCCTTAATATTTTAATTCTTTTTCATATGTAAAGATATTTGCGTATTGCTCTACATCTTGTGTGTATTAAGCAGTGTGTAAGCGAGAAGCAACTCTGCGCTAGACAAAAGAATTTCGGCTTTGTTCTGGTCTATTGAACAGTCTATTATAGTTTCTCAAAATAGCAACGCACCAGCAGTGCGCCTCAGAACGCCTTCCTTTTTAGACCAGAACGCCTATGGGCGCACATATGAGCGCAAATGCATTTGCTATTTAAACAGCGTGGTGTAAAACGTCAAAGCAACTCTTGTGCCAAGCTAAAACTAGCAACAGTTGCGTCACGCCTTGCGCCACATTGCGCCGGGTGTATGATAGGGCCCTGTATGTGTGAGCATTTGGCCAATATTTTTCTTTTGAACTGATTAACTGTGTTTTAAATTCATGAATTGTATGAATGCAAATGTATTATTATTATTGAGACAGATCTGGCTCCATAGGGGACTGCCAAAGAAAGATGAATCCGGCTGCTTCCTGTTTCGAGTTATTTATTAAATAATATTTCATTTACCATCAATTGTGCAATTCCTCCTGGTCATATGGTTATCAGTTGTTTGTACATTTTTCATTTTTAGTGTGTTGACAAATTGATGAAGATGCTTCAGTTTATTAGAGATTTTCTATCAGCATGTGTTTCTCTCTGTCACTGTGAAAAATCTCTTGGACAGACTAATCCTTGTTCAACATACTAATATAATTGTGCACTGGGATGCAGTGTGTTGTATTCAATTAAATTCAATTCAACTGTTTATTGTCATGTGCACAGTAAGGAAACACGTCTCCCTGTACAATGAGATTCTTACTTTGCCGTCCACAGTGAAGTCATACACACAACATACACATCATACACAACATACACATAAATACACATATATACACAGAAGTGACCGAAGATTGAATGTAAAATATAAGTATATAAATATCTATGAAAGTAAACAATATGTAAACCTGATTTGAGTAATGAAACAGATGTAAACAGTGTACAGTGTTTTTATTTTATTTTTTATTTTATTTTTTTTTATTGTGCTTATTATGCAAAAAGTGCCTAGTGCAATTGGATTATGTGCAAAAAAAGAATAAAGAATAAAATAGTGCAAAATGGGATGGAGTATGTAGTGTTGTACTGAGCAGAAAAGAGACTGTTATGTGCGTTGGTTATCTGTTTAGAAGTCTGATGGCTGATGGGAAGAAAGAAATCTTGAAGAATTCCTCACCTGGATGTGTGGATATCGGTGGCTGGAAGGCCAGCTCATTATGGACTGACCCTGAGACACAGAGAAAAGTAGTGTTTAACTGATGCTACAACAGATTCCAGTTATGATGATAGATGGCTAGCGGTGGCAAAAGAGACTCACAGTACTGTCCTGTGTGAGGAAGAGGAGGGTGGTGCTGAAGATGACCGTTCTGATGAGGAATGCTGGGAGGAAAGCTGCTTCCTCTGGGCCACGAGCTGGGAGCATCTAGAAGAGGAAAACACAAATCAAACAGGTTATCTTTGTAAACCGGACGGAAGTCAAAAAACCTAGCCTGTTTTTCCCATGATACGTTCAAATCTCTTTAGCGTAAACAGAAATTCTATAGGAAGTCTTAATTTGTTTATTAAAATAGTTTTTTATAGCGTTCCATGAGTTTATTGTCGTAAAAATAACACCGTACATATAAGAAAGAATGTTTTAGACCCCCTACCTGTTATTTAACATGAAAAGAAAATCAGACCCTCTTTGTCACTTATGCAACAACTCTACACAAGGTACTTATATTCATATGTTCTGGGAATGTCCCTAAAGTCCACTATTCTGGACCAAGATACAAGACTTTTTCAAGAGTTTACACTTAGGGTGCTTTCACACCTGCCTTATTTAGTTCGATTGAATCACACTAGAGTTCGTTTCCCCTTTTGGTGTGGTTCGTTTGGGCAGGTGAGAATGCAGCAATCGTACTCGAGTGCGCACTAAAAGCGGACCAAATAAGCGTACCGAGACCTGCTTGAAGAGGTGGTCTCGATACGCTTTCAAACGAACCCTGGAGCAGTTCGTTTGTGGTGAGAATATGATCCGTACTAAAACAGGTCCAACCGCAAAAAGTACTGCGCATTTTGGACTAATCCAGCTGCCGTAGGCCAATGCGCTGTGCATTATGGGATATGGAGGAAAAATATTTGTTGACAGCGCTTTACCAACAGAGAGAGAGAGAGAGGAAAACATTACCTGATGGATCGTTGGTAATATTTCCGCAAGAGGACCATGGCGCAGTTTAGCTAAACTAATTCACGCCTCCTCCTGAAGAGACGAGTGATGCATTAAACACTGTTTTCCAGCCGCGGCCGCGCTTCATTTTTTGTAATGTATAGTTTGTCTAAAGCAGCGACACAATCGACCAGTGCAGTCGTCCCTCCAGAGTAAAAACGACATTTTGTGTCTGCCAGTTTTGTTTACCTGCAGGAGTTCATTGGCATTTTCCTGCACGTGAATTCTGACCAATCAATAAGCAGTTTCAACTGGTTCGGACCAAAGCCAGCAGTGTGGTTTGAAAGCGACCCAAAGACTGCAGAAAATGCAACAATGTATCATTTATTACCCTTGGTCCGGACCGAATGAAGCGAACTACAGATGTGAAAGCACCCTTAGATACTGTTTGACAACTTGTTTGCAAGTTAGCAGGTTTGGCATGCTGTCCCGGGAGAGAACCCTTAGCTCGGAGATAGTTGAGCCCAGGGCTCCCGCCAGGTCCATAGAGCATGTGAGGGGAGTACGAGGTCAGGTGTTCTCGAGAGCTCCCCTCGGCAAAAGAGGAAAGGAGGAGAAGGGGTGGATGGGGGGTTTCTTCGGGAAACGAAGATAAGGGAGTAGTTCTTAGCTAGGTTACTTATAGTGAGTTTGGATCAATCTGATTGGCTGGCTAAAGAGTGTAGATGAGTGGCCAGCTGCAGTCAATCACATCACGTGCTCCTCTCGAAATTAGTTTGTGAAGCTTCATTTATCAGAACTAATGGAAACTCAGGCCCTGTTTACACTAGTGCGTTTTAGAATGAAAACGATCCGCGTCCAGCGTTTCTGAACAGCTCTCCGTCCACACCAAAACACTGAAAACGCACATCACGTGACCACACACACACTCTCTGGCATGCGCCGCAGCCCATCTACCCAGATGAAAGTGTTCATCAAGGATCTCCCGCTGGATCTAATCTCACTATATTTGCTAAACGTGATATTTAATTCATCTTGTTGTCTATTTCTAACAACATATTCCCCGACTTTGGCCTCTTGAATCTATTACTTGCTCTCGGGTAACGTGTTTTGGCTGAGCGCAAAGCTAAATTAATAATTAATCTAACCACGTACATTCTGTATATTGACTGATCGCTTGCCTTTATTTACGATAATGTATAAACTTATTATACATTATACTTTTATAATGGTCATTATTGATTATTAAAACTGATATTCAGCAAAAGAAACGGCATGTTTCTTAATTTCAATGAAAATGAAAGGAGGCAGTAATGTTAGGCTTCGTTTTATTATGAATACGCACACAGTGAAGATGACACTCATATATTAAGCACAACACCTCAACATTTCTGCTGTCTGTTAAGTTGTTAAAATCAAAATAAAAATAGCAGTTCCTTCATGTTTTTATTTTATTGTTAAAAAAGTGAAACAATGTAGCCAGAGTGATGTGAATGAGGTTATACAGTACACTGTTCCCTTTGAAGATTTACCCGATGTGTCCTCGGGAGTCTGTTTTCCATGTCAAACTTGCAAAGTCTGAACTTACACGGAGAGGATGCAGGACTGAACTGTGTGTAGGCTACTTAATATTGCGGAAAAGCCCCAATCAGAGAGGCGAATGTCTGCAGCCCCGCCTCCGTTGTCAGATGTCTCCGTTTTCCCCCATCCACACTGAGACGAAGCAGCAGCATTTTAGGATGATAACGGCCTCTCCAGCATTTCCAAAACGCTCTGTTTTCGGCGCTCGAAAACTCCAGCGTAGTGTGAATGGATGGTGTAACCGTAGCAAAACTTATGCGTTTTCAAACTTAAACTTATTAGTGTAAACGGGGCCTCAGATCTAATGCGACTCATTGCTTTTCCTAATGCTGGACGATTCATCACTCTCCTTATCCATCAACCAAAAAAGGACTCAAAAAAAAAAAAAACAATCCTGAAACTATGGCTGGACCCATCTGCTCCAACTGATCTATCCTGGAGGCTCTATCTACTGGACATTATCAGCCTGGAATACACCACAGCCAAAATAAATGGAGCCATTAAAAAAAACTGTACAATATAGGTCAAATATGAGAGAGACTGTATCATTTATGTTTCAATCCTGATTTTGTACTTATTATTACAATATTACTGCTTTTATTTTTATTTTACATATTTTGTTGGGTGGATCTCGGGCTTTGTTCAAAATCAAAATGTTCAATAAAAAAAAAAAGAAAGTAAATATTAGCATTGGAGTAAAAATTGATTCATTCATTTATTTTCTTTCCGGCTTAGTCCCTTTATTAATCCGAGGTCACCACAGCGAAATGAACCGCCAACTTATCCAGCATGTTTTTAAGCAACAGATGCCCTTCCAGCTGCAACCCATCTCTGGGAAAATAATAATAATTCCTTACATTTATACAGCGCTTTTCTTGGCACTCAAAGCGCTTTACACATAGGTGGAAATCTCCTTATCCACCATCAGTTAAATAGCTTAATAATGAACATTACAGTCAAAGTAATTTTTTAAAAGTTAATAAAAGGGTAACATTTCTAAAATTAATGATTTTAAAGAAAATGGTCCCAAAATAATTTCTTAATTATTAAGTTTTAGTTATTGAGGTGCACTGTCATTGTACAAGAGTGCGTAGCAGGAATATTTCTCCTTATAGATTTAAGATTTCTTTTTTGTGTACTAGCTCTGTTGCTTGGAATGTTTTGCCTACGATTTTTACAGAGATTCAATTTGAGAGTGTTTTAAGGGAAATTCAAAAGTTCACACTTAGCTGATGATTGATTATAAAGCTTGTTTGGCATGCTGTCTTGGGAGAGAGCCCTGAGCTCATAAGATCCTCGAGCCCAGGGCTCCCTCCCATTTGCAAGGCGAGAGGGGAGTTTGAGCTCAGGTAGATCTCGAGAACTCTCCTGCTGTAGTAGCCAATGAACAGATAGTGATTGCTAAGAGATAACGACTTTCTAGGAGCATGTCTATGGTGCTGATTTGGATTAGTCATTAACTTGAGCTGCATGTTTTTAAACAGAGGAAGGAAACTGGGGAACCCGGAGGAAACCCACGTGAACACGGGGAGAATGTGTAAACTCTGCACAAAAACGTCCGCTGGCTTGGTAAAGACTAGAACCAGGGACATTCTTGCTGTGAGGCAACAGTGCTAACCACTGGGCCACCGCGCCACCCATCTTGGAAATGAGGAGTAAGGGTGGAAGGGGGGATTCTTCAAAACGAAGATGGCTGTGATATGGAACTTAGGTAATTTATAGTGGCAAAGGAATGGTCTGATTGGTAAATCATAGATTGAATAATGCGGGACCAGCCGCAAGCAATCATAAGCACACGATCCTCTTGAAGTAAGTTTATAAATAAACTTCACTGAAAAAGTGGTTGTTGTACAGTTGAAGTTGAGGATTTTGTTGTGAGCTGATGATGTTTGCACTCCATTTATGATTTGCTTGTTCATTTTTTAATAATGTCGAAGACCATAATGCAAATAAGTCTGTGGCTTTTTTGTGTATTTTTTCCTCGACAGTTTTTAAAATATGTATGAACTAGTCTAACTGGACTTGTTTGTATGTTTTTGTTAAAACTGTCAAAAAAAATCAATCAATCAAGCAAGCATACTCATGGAAATAAACAATACACTACCTGACAAAAGTCTTGTCGCCTATTCATGTTTTGGGAACAACAAATAATAAGTTGACTTCTAGTTGATCATTTGGCGTCAGAAGTGTCTTATATGAAAGGCAAAGGCCTCTACATTACACTTATTTTACCACAATAAAATATGATCATGCCTTGATTTCATCTATTTCATTAGGACAGTAAGGTCTGACTTTGCTTGGGCAAAAGTCTTGTCATGTAACAGAAATAATGTCCAGTATAGAATATAAAGTCCTGCTGCAGTGGAAACAGAATGAATATTGTGTCTGACTCCATCATGAGCTTGGAGGACTGCATCCATACATCTCTGCAATGACTCAAATCACTGATTAATAAAGTCATCTGGAATGGCAAAGAAAGCGTTCTTGCAGGACTCCCAGAGCTCATCAAGAGTCTTTGGATTCATCATCAATGCCTCCATCTTCATCTTACCCCAAACATGCTCAATAATGTTCATATCTGGTGACTGGGCTGGCCAATCCTGAAACACCTTGACCTTCTTTGCTTTTGACCTTATACAAGTCATAATTTATATTCAAATATATTTTTCAAATATGAACTTTGATTTTGGATGTGACTAATCGCTTGACATACACTGTGTACATACAACCAGGCAGTGCATTCTGTCCACTCTTTTTTTTTTTGTCAAAAGAATGAAATAATGACTTACTGTTTGGACCGGCAGCCATAGCGCTGAAAGCCGAGGTGGAGGTGGAGCTTGTGTGGTCAGCTGGCGGCAGGAGGACGGGGCTGTTGAAAGTGTCAGGCGGGGCAGAGGGCGTGGCCGTGTGCTGGATGGTTTGAATACTGTGACCTCCATCAGCTGCGGAATGAGACGACTGACCCTCAAACTCCTCCTTCACCATCAGCTCTCCACTTGGACCTGCACATACACACGCAAAAAAAAACAACACATTCACTCATCTGTGATGGGCAACACACTTATTTGAACATACTTCTTGTTCGGCTGGAATACTGGGTTGGGCTGTCTGGGACAGTCGTCAAATGGTTCAGATCTTACCTTGAAGGTAGAGGTTACTATGTCAGTATTGGTAACCATAGGTCGAGGTGGACACCCATGACATGTGGAGTCCCACAAGGCTCAATTCTGGCACCTCTCCTGTTCAACCTTTATAAGTCCCTCTGAGCCAAATAATGAGAAGCAACCACATTTTCTACCACAGCTATGCTGATGACACTCGGATCTACTAAGTCTTACTGCCTAATGACTACCGCTCCATTGACACCCACTGCCAATGTATTGATGAAATGAACAGTTGGATGTGCCAAAAGTTTCTTCAGTTAAACAAAGAGAAAACTGAAGTCATTGCATTTGGGAACAGAGATGAGGTTCTCAAGGGTAATGGGTACCTTGGCTCTAAGGGTCAAACAAATAAGGTCAAGAATCTTGGTGTGACTCTGGAGTCAGATCTGAGTTTCAATAGTCATGTCAGTAAATCAGCGTATTATCATCTCAAAAACATTGCAGGAATTAGATGTTTGTTTCCAGTGGGGATTTAGAGAAACTTGTTCATGCTTTTATCAGCAGCAGGGTGGATTACTGTAATGGATTCCTCATTGAACTTCCAAAAAAGACTGTCAGACAGTTGCAGCTCATCCAGAACGCTGCGGCCAGGATTTTGACCAGAACCAGAAAATCAGAGCACATCACACCGGTCCTCAGGTCTTTACACTGGCTCCCAGTTACATTCAGAATAGATTTTAAAGTATTATTACTGGTCTATAAATCACTAAATGGCCAAAGACCTCAATACATTACAGAATATTACTGAATACAAACTGATCACTGATCTTTAGGATTCTATAAACTAGAAATTCCAAGAGTTCATTCAAAGCAGGGTGAAACGGCAGCTCATAAACTTAATTTAAACTTAACTTAAACTTTCTAAAACTTAATTTGAGCCTGAGAGGGTTAAAAATTATGACATTTCTTCCTAGATTAAAATTAAATTAAATTACAGTCTGTCAAAATACATCATTAAACAACACAATAATGTTTTAAGAAAAAAATTAAGAAATCAATATATGGCAGAACAGCCCTAATTTTCCATCACAATAAATTAAAACATTTTTAAACCAATTGTAAATAAAAAAAACATTATATTTAAAAGAAATGTTCTCACACCTTGTATTTCTATAGAATAAAACAAACATTCATTCATTCATTCATTTTCTTGTCGGCTTAGTCCCTTTATTAATCCTGGGTCGCCACAGCGTAATGAACCACCAACTTATCCAACAAGTTTTTACGCAGCGGATGCCCTTCCAGCTGCAACCCATCTCTGGGAAACATCCACACACACACACGTTTGTTTTTGTGAAAAGTGGGGACATTACATAGGTTTCCATTCATTTTATACTGTTCAAACCGTATATTATATTGCCCTCACCCCACCCCACCCCTGAACCAAACCATCACAGGAGACTGTGTGCAGCTTTACTCTCTGATTAAACTCATCCTGTAGGATTTATAAGCATTTTGAGAAATGAGGACGTCACCAATGTCCTTATATTTCACCTCCTTTTTGTAATACCTGTGTCATACCTATGTCATTATACAGATTTGTGTCCTTATATGTCACAAAAACACGTATACACACACACACACACACACACACACACACACACACACACACACACACACACACACACAACGGACAATTCAGCCAACCCAATTCACCTGTACCGCATGTCTTTGGACTGCGGGGGAAACCGGAGCACCCGGAGGAAACTCACGCGAACGCAGAGAGAACATGCAAACACCACACAGAAACGCCAACTGAGCCGAGGCTCGAACCAATGTAAAACAATTATTAGCACACCTAATAAAGCTAAGGAAAATGAACACTAAAATCCCCCTCACCTGGGCCGCCCAGCGTCAGAACAGACAGATCTAACAAAAGACAAAAGGAGAAAATCATGTAAATAAATATTATACAAACAAAACTCAAATACACCGTCAACCTGACTTCCTCAAGTAGGACATGTTCCTGGATTAACATCTATTTTGATCCTGGAACAACATTACAATCAGCCAATCAGAATTTAGGGATATGTTAACAGTTAATGTTAAGTTTAGGTTTACGGTTATGTTTATGCACTTTTACTTCTTGGTCACAGGTGTCAAACTCAGTTGCAAAAGGGCCGCAGCTCTGCACAGTTTAGTTCCAACCCTAATTAAACACACCTGATCAAACTAATTGAGTCCTTCAGGCTTGTTTGAAACCAACAGGTAAGTGTGTTGGAGCAGTGTTGGAACTAAACTGTGCAGGGCTTCGGCCCTCCAGGAATTGAGTTTGACACCCCTGTTCTATGGTGAAAAGAAGGTCCCGCCTACAAGTAAAGGAGCCAATCATCAATTGCTATAGACTGACGAGACTTCAGGGGAGGGGCTCGGACAAGACATAAGTTTCTGCAGATTTTGTGTGATTTAAATGTTTGGAAATTAAACTAAAGACACAGTTGTGGTTTCATTTTATTGGTGATTCCTAATATGAAATTCAGTCGTAAGCTTGGCAAGCAGTTTTGGAGAATTTAATGTTTTCCCATTCAAACACACTGCCCCAGAGGCGTTTTAAAAATGGCCGCCGAATGAAATGACTTGCCTTAAAGGGACTTTGGTACAACTCCCCTCTGAGTTTGGGAGTAATTTACAGCTATGTAAATTATTAAAAACTTATGATCCAGGATCAACATAGATGTTAAATCCAGGATTGCATCGTACGTGGAAAAATCAAAACATGCTAAAATATACAACATAAACACAGGTCCTTGCACATATTTTTAGCATAATAAAATTTTTAATCACAATAAGGTACCAAAAAACAATTTACCGATGCTTGGAGAAACGACCCTCTCGTAATGGTACGGGTTCACACAAACATTGTCACACTTCAGGTCAAAGGCAAACTGGCAGTATTTGACATGTTTCAGCTCGTTCTTGTGCAGGTCCGGCCAACGCCACAGACGTGCGTAGATGACATGAGGAAATCCTTTACGACCTGCCACCTGACAAACAAATCAAATGCATTTACAGGAGAACTGATAAAAGATTATACTGCCATTTAAATGTTTGAGATATATATATATATATATATATATAAATATATATATATATATATATATATATATATATATATATATATATATATATATACAGTTGAAGTCAGAATTATTTGCCCCCCTGAATTATTAGACCGCTTGTTTATTTTTCCCCAATTTCTGTTTTGAGCAGAGCAGATTTCTTCACCACATTTCTAAACATAACAGTTTATTAACTTGTTTCTAATAACTAATTTATTTTACCTTTGCCATGATGACAGTAATATTAGTAATATTAGTAAATAATATTTTACTAGATATTTTTTCAATATAATTTGGCAAGTTATTGTATAACAATGTTTTTTTCTGTAGATTAGAGAGAAAAAAATAGCCTAAAGGGGCTAATAATTTTGTCCCTAAAATGGTGTTTAAAAAACTAATAACTGCTCTTATTCTAGCCAAAATAAATCAAATAAGACTTTTTCTAGAAGAAATATATTATTATTAATATTATCAGACATACTGTGTAAATGTTCTTGCTCTGTTAAACATCATTTGGAAAATATTTTAAAAAGAAGAAAAACATTCGAAGGGGGCTAATAATTCTGACTTCAACTGTATATATACTCACACAGTTGAAGTCAGAATTATTCGCCCCCTGTTTATTTTCCCCATTTTCTGTTTAACAGAGAACAGATTTCTTCAACACATTTCTAAACATAACCACTTTAATAACTAATTTATTTTATCTTCACCATGATGACAGTAAATAATATTTGACTAAAAAAATTTAAAGACACTTCTATACAGCTCAAAATGACATTTAGAAGCTTAAAGGTGCAGTAGGTGATTGTGTTCAGAAGCATTTTTTGTTGTGCTGCCTGAAAGTCTCTTCACAGTCTAATAATAATGATGATTACAGTAAATGATCTAAGTGTGTTTATATGTATTTTTATATTCCGGAAAAGGCATAAAACTAAAAAATTAAATATTGTTGACATCTCTCATAATTGCGATAAGTGGCTCAATCTGTCTGTCAAATGCAGATTTGGGCTTGCCCGTCGTGCATGCACGCCTAGCTGGGCCCGCGCATGCACAGTTACAGTCGTGGCAAAATCAAATGCTGAATTGAAACTTTTTAAACTCCTGAATCGCTCCTGAGTTATTTTTGCACGCTGGAGGAAGGACGACACCATGGCCAAAGTATTTCTGTTAGACAGGTAATGTTCTGTTTTAAAACTATTTAGCTTCATGCAGAGCTGATGCAGATTTGGTTGTGAATAGGTTTTATGCACAGACCTGTTGCTCAGCCACTGAAATCTCCCGCAGATAGATTAATTTGACTATTTTCGGTTTGATAAGGGCCTTTTACAGCATTGATAATGTAGATTTATATTTAGTTTAACAACAAAACATCAGTAAATAGCGCTATTCTGCCTAGTCATTTGGTCATTTGGTCATTTCTGAACAATGACAGCCTGTGACGCGCTTCCTATACTGTTTACCATGGTAGGTAATATTCGCTCTGAAATATTAGTAAGTGTGGCTTTGTAATAAATGAAATTCCTGCACACCACCGGGCCAACCACTATGTACACGTCTAACTGGGGAATGACATGAACTAGTGGGTTGTCTGCTGTCGTGTCGCGGTGGGGGCGTTCGCAATTTCCGGAGGCGTAGCTTTGAAATGCAGTCCCTCCCCTGCCGTCCAAAGCTAATATGCTAATCGATTAGCATTTTGGCAGATCACCTACTGCACCTTTAACTAGGTTAATTAGGTTATCTAGGCAGGTTAGGGGAATTAGGCAAGTTATTGTATAACGATGGTTTATTCAGTAGACTACTAAAAACAAATTGCCTAAAAGGGGCTAATAATATTGTCCTTAAAATGGTTTTAAAAAATTAAAAACTGCTTTAATTCTAGCCGAAATAAAACAAATAATAATAATAATAATAATAATAATAATTCCTTACATTTATATAGCGCTTTTCTGGGCACTCAAAGCGCTTTACACACAATGGGGGAATCTCCTCATCCACCACCAGTGTGCAGCATCCACCTGGATGACGCGACGGCAGCCATTTTGCACCAGACCGCACATGACACACCAGCTGATTGGTGGAGAGGAGACAGAGTGATGAAGCCAATCGGAATATGGGGATGGTTAGGAGGCCATGATGGACAGAGGCCAGTGGGCAGATTTGGCCAGGATGCCGGGGTTAAACCCCTACTCTTTTCGAAGTACATCCTGGGATTTTTAACGACCACAGAGAGTCGGGACCTCGGTTTAACGTCTCATCCGAAAGACGGCGCTCACTGAGCAGTATGGCGTCCCTGTCACTATACTGGGGCATTAGGACCCACACAGACCGCAGGTTGGGCGCCCCCTGCTGGCCTCACTAACACCACTTCCGGCAGCAACCTAGCTTTCCCATGTGGTCTCCTATCCAGGTACTGACCGGGCGCAGCCCTTCTTAGCTTCAGTGGGTGACCATGTGAGAGTTGCAGAGAGCTAGCTGCCGGCTAAGACTTTCTCCAGAAGAAAAAATATTATCAGACATACTGTGAAAATTTCCTTGCTCTGTTAAACATCATTTGGGAAATATTTAAATAAGAGAAAAAAATTCAAAGGGGGGCTAATAATTCTGACTTTGTATGTTGTAAACTTTAAACTCGCAGCGTTTTGGTCACATCCACAATGCATGGTTATTTTTATTAACAAAAAAATACCAACAAAAAAAAACTTCAAAAACTAACTTAATTTTCTACAAAGCTATAAACGATTAACATTACACAGTAAAATGGTCAGTTAATAGACAGACAGACCTGCAGTCTACCGTCCAGCGTGCGCTGTATAGTCACGCATTTACTGGGATGAGCTCCGTTTGTGGTGATGGCAGTGATCAAAGAGTCCAGCTCATCTTTCTTCTCTTTCAGCTTCTTCACCAAGCTCTCTATGGCTCGTTTGGAGAAGGACTCGCTCTCTCCACCCTGCCGATGGCACATGAGGCTGTGGACGATGCTCAGGCAGGCATCATTACTGGTGGGTGTGCTGGAGACGGACATGCTGCTGGATTTACACTCAACCACAGGCGAGAAATAAACAAATCCAAGACCTTCGATCCTCCCGAGCTTCAGTCTTCACACCCTGATGTCGAGACGCGCACCACACTGGCCTGATTAAAAACAAACAAAGAAAAGACGCACAGATTGTAAACAGGACTTAATGAACATTATTATTTCACTTTGCATCGTGTCGTTTTGATGAACCATCAACAGCTATTGGCTTTATTTAGCTGTTATATTTCAATTTTGTTGATGATAAATTTTCTCAATTTATTCCAGAAGAGTATTGCACAACAGTGGAATCAAGAAAGCCAGGATAACAGCATGGCTTGACCTAGAGGAGGAGGCTATGTGAGTGATACTTTTGGGCCGCACTCGCCAGCTGCACTTCGTTAAACACTATACTATGATATGCAGTGATTTTCTTTGAAGATGGTTGTGAAAAATAGTATGTAATAGTAGTAATAGTACACTTTAGTATGGTACAAAACCTTTTTACTATATATTACTATTGTATTTTAGTTGAATTACTGGTGTGTGTGACCGGTGCAGTGCTTTGAAACAGTAGTAATGTATGTAATTGACGCCTAATCTCTTGCTATACACTTTATTAACCCGTGAGGGTGTTTAAACCTTTGAATCAAAATGCGAAGCAGTCACGAAAATGGCGAAAATGAAGCTTCGGACGTCACTGATCACGTGATGATGGCAAAACGAATCAAGCTCCGGTACACTGCTTCACTACGAGATGCAATATTTTTTTGATACATGCTTCGAAGCCTCTGTGCAAATAGTCATTCATTCATTCTCTTGTCGGCTTAGTCCCTTTATTAATCCGGGGTTGCCACAGCGGAATGAACCACCAACTTATCCAGCAAGTTTTTACGCAGCGGATGCCCTTCCAGCTGCAACCCATCTCTGGGAAACATCCACACACACATTCACACACACACTCGTACACTACGGACAATTTAGCCTACCCAATTCACCTGTACCGCATGTCTTTGGACTGTGGGGGAAACCGGAGCACCCAGAGGAAACCCACGCGAAGGCAGGGAGAACATGCAAACTCCACACAGAAACACCAACTGAGCCAAGGTTCGACCCAGCGACCTTCTTGCTGTGAGGCGACAGCAATACCTACTGCGCCACTGCCTCGCCCCGGTGCAAATAGTCACATCACTAAAGCTTTCTGAAGCAGTGAAGCGCTCGACTCAATTGTATCCGAAAAAAGGTTCGTTACTTCAGGGGCTCCCAAACTTTTTATCCCGTGACCTCCAAAATGATAATGCCAGTGACTCGCGACCCTCAATATCCTCTGAGGTGGTTATAAATACAGAGACCTTGCATGCAATGGTGCACACACACCAATAGACCCAAGTCTATTTTATAGTAACTATAAGCTACTATAGTAACTATGTAGTATCGATAAATGACTATTTTTTCTCTTCAGTAGGTTATGCATAAAATATGGTAATTGTTATGGTTTAATAAAAATAAATAATATTTGGAAATCACCAGGCGAACCCCCCTTCATTGTCCCACGACCCCCACTTTGAGAACCACTGCGTTACTCAAAGCTTTCTAAATCAGAGCTCGATAAGGACCTCTTCTGGTGAAAGTGTGGGAAATGTCGAATGTTCACAACTGACCAATTTATTCATGTATTAATACAACAACAGTAATATAAACAAATTACTCAATTACTGTAGTTTTGACACATAAGGTATGTTACAGTCACAACCTATGACTGTAGTAAAATCCAAGATATTCAAATGTATTTAAAATTATAATTTTCCAACTAGTCCCGTTCCAAACGGGGATCGAACCAGTGATTCCTGTATGGGAGGCGAATGCACTAGGAGGAGGCTATGTGAGTGATGCTATTGGGCTGCTCTCGCCAGCTGGTCTCCGTTAAATACTATAATATGATATGCAGAGGTTTTCTTTATAGATGGTTGTAAAAAATATGCTAATACACGTTAGTATGGTTCAAAACCTTTTTACTATAGATTACTATTGTATTTTAGTTTAATTACTGGTGTGTGGGACCGATGCAGTGCTTTGAAACAGTAGAAATGTATGTAATCGAAGCCTAATCTCTTGCTTTACACTTTACTAACCCATGAGGGTGTTTAAACCTTTGAATCAAAACGCGAAGCAGTCACGTGGGTATAGGCGAAAATGAAGCTTCGGACGTCACTGATCACGTGATGATGGCAAAGCGAATCAAGCTCCGGTACACTGCTTCACTGCGAGATGTATCGTTTTTTTGATACATGCTTCGGATGTACATTATAGGATGTTTCATCATCATCATGTAAAAAAATCTAATTATATCTATATATATATATATATCTATATATATATATATATATATATATATATATATATATACATACATACATACACACACATACACACACACACATATATATATATACATCGGTTGTGTTATATATATATATATATATATATATATATATATATATATATATATATAAAATTATCGACATTTTCTATTTTTTGTCATTTTTTTCTGCAAAATCTCATTTTGTAAATGTATTATCTTTTTATACCTAATGATGTTAAGTGAACAAAGTCTTATTTTAATGAATAAAAACTTTTGTTTAAATGCACAAAAAATTATTGTCTATATTCACTAAGAAATGAACTCAGTCAAGGCTAAATTCAGCCAGGATAGCCTCAAAATCCCAGCTTAATCCCTGATCTTACTTTTGTGCAATACCACTTTAGAGACCATTCAATTGAATTTTAGGACTATGCATCTTTATATTTCAGACATGTGTGTAATTATTTTGTGAGTGAGTGGGTGGATGGATGGATGGATGGATGGATGGATGGATGGATGGATGGATGGATGGATAGATAGACAGAGAGAGACAGACAGACAGACAGACAGACAGACAGACAGACAGACAGACAGACAGACAGATAGATAGATAGATAGATAGATAGATAGATAGATAGATAGATAGATAGATAGATAGATAGATAGATAGATAGATAGATAGATAGATAGATGCTACAAATAGACTTATTGACATTACTATAAAAACTTATTTTCAATTCTTCTTTTCAACTGAATTGAATTTATTTATGTTTTAACGGCATATCAACAGCTATAATTATTGGCAACTGTTATCATTCATGGCAACATTGGTAAATAATTATTTAATACATCATTTACAATCATAACAGTTTATTCATAAACAAGCAAAAGCATACAGATATCAACAATACTGATAAAAAAATAATGTAAGATCTTTCAATTTGGTCGATGATAAGCATTTTTAAATTATTCCAAAAGACTGTGTGTCTTTATATTTTAGACATTTCTAATAATTTTATGGCTACATGTGAAGAGTTCAGATGCAAAAACCTCTAAAGGCCATCTGAATTGTTCTTCTAAAATGAGCATTTTATCCGACTCCTGTGTATAGGTTCAGTAATATCAGTTTTATGGCATAGAATAAGCCCTTTTTTGTGGTCTTTAAAGTAAAACAACTCAACATAAACAAAGAAGGCTGATTCAGTTTTGATGGAAATTTCAGCCGGCACTTAGAGGTTTTTGCATCTGAACTCTTCATATGTGTAATTATTTTGTAGACAGACAGACAGATGGATGGATAAATGGATAGACAAATGGATGGACAGACAGACAGACAGATATGTAGATAGATAGATAGATAGATAGATAGATAGATAGATAGATAGATAGATAGATAGATAGATAGATAGATAGATAGATAGATAGATAGATAGATAGATAGATAGATAGATAGTCAAATGGATAGACAAACGGATAGACAGACAGACGGACAGAAGGATAGATAGACAAATGGATGGACAGACAGACAGACAGACAGACGGATGGATAGACAACTGAAATAACATGCCATATATCATAGTAATGACGCTACAAATCGATTTATTTACATCAAGTTAACTTTACTATAAAAACTGAACAAAATGTTATGTTTTTTATTCATATTTACGCTGAATTATTGGGGAATCGGTTGAATTTACATTTCAGCTTTTTTTCTGACAAAACAGTCACTGCTTTCCCAACAACATCCCAGTAACTTCAGGTCTGTTAATAAATTATACCAAAACATTAAAATAGCCAAAAGCAGAGCATTACCCTGTATTATTATAACAAGTAAATACGTGAACGTGAGTGATATTAAATCAGATCACTCTGTGACAATACAACTGATCTCACTATGATGCTAGCAAGCTAACTGGCTAACAGATACTCCTTAAACATGTGCGAAATGCACGAGTAAAAGCGTCTGAATTAGAACCATAGTAAAGCATTACGAAAAAATAATGATAATGTGAGAAAATATCAACAGAAACACTTACGATTCATGGCGCAAAGGCACGGACGCTGTCTCTACGTAAGCGCAGTGATGTCATCGCTCGGGTGACGCAGCCGTGCACGTAAACACGGCCCTCCCTCACAGATGATTTTTCGTCAATTTTGACTGAAAACTGCTGAGTTACCGCTGAATAAAAGTTTAAAGGGTCATTGGGTTAAACAGTTTTAAACGACGACAATAATATCTAATCTTACTACATTCCTTTTGACTACACTAAACACGTTCAAAGTACTATACAGTCAGTCAGTCGGTGTAGCAAACATGAGATCGAGTATAAACGCTACATTTACAGGGGAAAATGCAACGCAGATAGCTTTTTTCCACTTTATTTATCGTTTATAAAGGAACTAAACTGAACATTTCGAAACAACTATAAAAGCTTTGCTCACTTGGACTATATCGTTTAATCTTGCCCTACAATGTAGTAAACAGCTATTCATACTCCTAAAGAACAGTCCCCTGCTAAAAAATCCAGCTTAAACCAGCCTAGGCTGGTTGGCTGGTTTTAGCTGGTTGACCAGCCTGGTTTTAGAGGGGTGTTGGCCATTTCCAGGCTGGTTTTCAGCCATTTACAGCCTGGTCTTAGCTGGTCAGGCTGAAAAATGACCAGCTTAATCCAGCTAAAACCAGCTTGACCAGCCTGGTTTAAGCTGGACATAGCTGGTTTTGGCTGGGCTCTCAGCCTGGCTAGGCTGGTCAAGCTGATTTTAGCTGGTCATCTCCCAGCCTGACCAGCTAAGACCAGGCTGGAAATGGCTGGAAACCAGCCTGGAAGTGGCCAAAACCCCTCTAAAACCAGCCTGGTCGACCAGCTAAAACCAGCCAACCAGCCTAGGCTGGTTTAGGCTGGATTTTTCGGCAGGGTCTTGCTGTCATTTCTCCATCCTCTGCAACACTAAATGCATCTGTTTGAGTGACTCAAGGGAATATGATAGCTACTGCGTGAATTCAGAGCAAAAGCTGTTTCACAGACTGCCAAGTGCTATAAATATTAATAAAACAGTAATTGCTTATGCAATTTTCTCTGGGGAAGCTAATGACAGAAATTAACCTACTTTAAAGTGTGTAAAATATGGCAAAGTCAGAAATGTACACTACCTGATAAAAGTCTTGTCAGCGATTCCAGTTGTAAGACCAATAGGTAGATTTATCAGTTGAACTGCATCCCAATCATCACAAATACTGCAGAAGACCTACTGGAACCCACATGAACCCAAGATTCTCACAGATATCAATCAAGTTTGGTAAAGGAAAAATCATGGTTTGGCAGGGCTGCCAACTTTTGGTTTTAACTTGGAGTGAGAATTTTTGCCCTGCCCTTACGACTCAAACAACGCCCCCCACAAAGCCACACACCTTTTTATTTATACACACACACATACACACACATACACACACACACACACACATGTTACTACCATTGAGTTACACAATGCAGCATTTAGCTCGCTCGTAAACATCGCCGCTGTCCTCAGATCATTGTCTGAGCAGAGGTTTCATCATTAGCCCTGACTGTCAGATGCTCTTCATCTCAGGAGCTGTATTTTTAGATGCTTGATAACAGATATAAGGTGAGTTATGGCTGGAGTGGACGCTGCCAGACGGGCTTTCATTCATTTTGGCATGACAGGAGAGAACAGGATACTAATGAGTGACAGAGAGAGTCCACAAAAACTGCTCTCCGGTTGCATTTTATTTGATGAATATTATCTTTTAGAGCAGGGGTGTCAAACTCAATTCCTTGAGGGCCGAAGCCCTGCACAGTTTAGCTCCAACCCTGCTCCAACACACTTACCTGTTGGTTTCAAACAAGCCTGAAGGACTCAATTAGTTTGATCAGGTGTGTTTAATTAGGGTTGGAACTAAACTGTGCAGAGCTGCGGCCCTTTTGGAACTGAGTTTGACACCTGTGCTTTAGAGCTTCGAGTCGTGCCTCAGGTTTTTCCCTCAGGTGTTTCTCGTCAGATTTGTTGTAGAAAGGTGAGAAATGTTTGAGTTTAAGACATACTTAAATTAATATATAAGCTAAGAGATGAAGTTAAAGATATTTGTGCAAAGCATTTATTTATAAATTATATTTGTAAATAAATGAAGCAGGAGCGATGCGAGAGGCGCGCTGGTATGTTTTCAGCGCGCATGCGTCAGTTTGTTTTTGATTGCATTGCTTTCACCAGTGTTGGTTCGGTTCCACAGAGAGAATAACATCTTTATATTAAAGCTGCAAGCAGCGATGATAGGGACCTCGCACCCGGGCTCACCGCCGCCCGGTGGCCTCAGGATAATAGAGAACAGCGAACAATAATATTTTAAGCCGATATATACAAAGAAGCCGAGAAAATCACAGATTTATGCCAAACTTCCTCCTGTCAGCAGGTGGCGCTATGACTGTGACTCAAGATTGGTATGTAGATGTCTTCAGGAGAGGAATCTTATCAACCATGTGAATTTTCAGTCAGGTCGGACGTTGTTTGGCTGAGTTATAAGCCAAACTTCTTGTTGCCAGCAGGTGGCACTTTGACTGTCTTAATGTTGGTATGTGTCAATGTTGGTATGGTGTGTGCCAATTTTCGTGCATGTGCGTGATTTGTAGGTCTGGGGCTCGTCCGTTTAATTTTTCTAGGTGGCGCTGTCGAGTCATTTTGCCACACCCACTTCCGAGACCCATAATAAACGTACATTTTCGCCACTTCTGAGGCGTGTGCAAAGTTCCGTGAGTTTTCGGGCATGTCTAGCCCCTCAAAATCGCGATTCATTCCGGAAAAGAATAATAATAATAATAATAGTAATAATAATAATAATGATAATAATAATAATAATAATAAACGGAGCAATTCCAATAGGGCCTTGCACCGTTCGGTGCTCGGTCCCTAATAATTATAAACGTCTTTAAAACCGTCTTTATTATAACGGAATACATATTCCACGGAGATGATTTTACTGCTTACTTTTTCATACTTCAGCCTCCACATCAAAGTTCCTGACAGCAAAGAAGGTCATGGTGCTCCAGGATTGGCCAGCCCAGTCACCAGACATGAACATTATTAAGTATGTCTGAGGTAAGAAGAAGGGCGCATAGAAGATGAATCCAAAGACTCTTGATGAACTCTGGGAGTTCTGCAGGAACGCTTTCTTTGCCATTCCAGATGACTTTATTAATCAGTGATTTGCATCATTGCAGAGATGTATGGATGCAGTCCTCCAAGCTCATGATGGAGTCAGACACAATATACATTCTGTCTCCACTGCAGCAGGACTTTATATTCTATAGTGGACATTATTTCTGTATTATATTTTGGTAAAATAAGCGTAATCTAGAGGCCTTTGCCTTTCATTTAAGCTACCTCTAATACCAAAAGATCAACAAGTCAGGATATCATTTGTTGTTCCTGAAACTTGGATAGGCCACAAAACTTTTTTCAGGAAGTGTTTATATTATTAGATTACATTGTCATATATTGACCCTTTGCGTTTAAAAAAACTGGGTTGTTTGGAACACGTCAAAGACATTTTGAAGGACTTTGAAAAATGGTAACCATTGACTTCTATAGTATTTTCTTTTTCCCCACAATGGATGTCAACAATTACTGGTCTTCAACATTCTTCAAAATACCTTATTTTGTGTTCAATGAATCAAAAAACTCAAACTGGGTAAATGTTAGTAAATAATGAGAGATTTTTAATTTTTGGCTCAAATATTGCTTTGAGGCGCACTGGCGCAGTGAGAATGGCGAAAACAAATTATTCAAAGACCCATGCTATGTAAAAATATACAGACTAATTCTGGCGCCCATTATTATATGGCCAAAAAGACACTACATTTTCCAATATGTCTATATTAATATATAAAGACAATAAATGTGTTTATTATAAACGTATAAATGCTTAGTTTTATGATCAAATCTCTGTTGCTTTAATTGTGAGGTAATACATATCCACTGATGATTGAGAGATGAAAAACACTGCTTAAAATGTTGATGGATCACATTTGACATTTTAATAAAATATCATATGGATAATCAAGTTATTTCAAATCAACTCATCTTGAAATGTTGCTACAGGTGTAAAAGTTATTATTAAATTTACACAATCCACATTCTGTGCAAAAAGGCTCAACCTTACTGTAGGTTTTACCAACCTTCCTATTGTTTTCCCCACCGTGATGCCTTACTTTCCAAAGAATGTAGTAAACAGTGTTGGATAAAGTTACTTTTAAAAGTATTTATTACAATCGTAAGCCTATCTTAATATTTTAGTTGCCATGTTTCCAGTATGAATTAGCATGTTGCTAGTATGTACATAGTATGATTAGCATGTTGCTAGCATGTTTTTAGTATAGATTAGCATGTTGTTAGCATGAATTTAGTATGAATTAGCATGTTGCTAGTATGTTTCTAGTATGGATCGGTGTGTTGCTAGTATGTTCAATGTAAAGTTAACGGCTGTGTCCGAAACCGCCTACTACTCAGTAGGTACTGCATTTGAATTTAAACGTACTACTCGGCCGTTAGAAAAGTACTTTCTATACAGTATGAATGTGAAAAGTATGAATGGAATTCGGACGTACTACATCCGCCACTTTGTCATGGTCACATGACCTACCTGCGTCAGTTGCGTCGCTTCACGTCCATTTAAGAATTCTCTTGCGGGTTCATTATGGGATAGCGCAGCGTGCATGGGATGCAAACTCCAGAATCTCGCCGGAAGTAGTAAGTCATCCGGGTACTTCTCGCATACTGATTTTCGAATTCTATGAATTCGGACATACTACTCGGCTCGCATACTGATTTTAGCGTACTATACAGTATGGAAGGATGCGGTTTCGGACGCAGCCAACAGCTGTTTCTCAATTCCAAGAATGCAGAGAACGGACTTGTGTTCTTGTGGAGACTGGTCTTCCTAGGTGTCTTTTGAGGAACGAACTCAAGAGACCACGAGAACAGAGAACACGTCCTTAGAGAAATGAGATGCTGCGTTCTTCCTGATGGTCACATGACCTTCACCCGTTTTAAATGGTAAATTATTCAAACATTACAGCATTTTGTTTTTCCCCTTTTCAAAATACATACCTTGCATAAAAACATAAATATACTCTGCACAATATGAATAAAACAGATTTTAATATGAATTTTAGCAAACAAACACCCTTAATGTGTTTATTCCTTTATTAAGATGTCCATGGTAATGTTTATATTCACCGTTTCATTTAGGGAAACTCCTGAAGTAAATAAGTTAAATCTCTGAACTTTAATAATATATCTAGATAAAATGCTGCGCTTCCCACCTCCAGTCGCAATGACTTCTGGGACTTCTAGAGCGAGTTCGATACTCAAGTCTGCATCGGTGCGTCCTCGATATCAAGATCACATCCAGGAAGTTTCACGCATCCTCCGTATTTGTGGTCTTGAGAATTGGAACTGAACTTAGGCAGCTGATGATGACGTTGCACGAGGACGCAAGACCGCTGAAGAACGCATATTGAGAAACAGCCACTGGCAGTTTTTTTACAATGGAAGTCTATGGGACAGTTACTAGGGTGCCGTAAGTGGTTGCTAGGGTGCAGCTAGTAAGTTGAAAGGTGATCAGTGATTGGCAGATTGGGAGTCTGAGTTAAATGAGCTCAAACTTAAGTCAGTATGACAGAGTTAAGAGGTCACTAAGTTTGGTCCAGTGTTAAGTTAATGGGACTTTTCAGGATTTCCCAGGTCAGTTTTTGAAAAACCATAAGTCGGATCAGTTGGAAAAAATATAGCAACCCTAGTCAGACCAGTTAGGAGGTTTGGTGTTAGTTTAGTGGTTGTAGTATAAACGGTCAAGGAGGAGATGCATATAGTAATTAGTTTCAGAGGAAGAATATTAAGTTTATGTAGTATAACAGTATGTTGGCCACCAAAATAAACATGAATAGAATTAGTGTAACGGAGGCCAGCTAGTAAGTGCTGTGCAGCTAAACATCACTACTCTGACCTCTAATTATGCTCTAGCGACAGATACTGAAGCCATGGTATTTGGCCTCCTTGGTAGAGCAACCGACTCCCATACGAAAGGTCGCCGGTTCCATCCCACCTTGGATCGGGTTGGGTGGTGTAGGACTGGTGGGGTTACATTCGTGCCGTGACTAGGATGGGAGTGAGGTTTAGGGGGTGAGTGTAACGGAGGCCAGCTAGTAAATGCTGTTCAGCTAAACCTCACTCCTCTGACCTCTAATGGTGCTCTAGCGACAGATACTAGAGGCCATCGCTGCGTCCGAAACCGCATACTTCCATACTGTATAGTACGCTAAAATCAGTATGAGAGCCGAGTAGTATGTCCGAATTCATAGAATTCGAAAATCAGTAGGCGAGAAGTACCCGGATGACTTACTACTTCCGGCGAGATTCTGAAGTGCGCATCCCATGCACGCTGCGCTATCCCATAATGCCCCGCGAGAGAATTCATAAATGGAAATGAGGCGACGCAACTGACGCAGGTAGGTCACGTGACCACGACAAAGTGGCGGATGTAGTACGTCCGAATTCCAATCATACTTTTCACATTCATGCTGTATAGAACGTACTTTTCTAACGGCCGAGTAGTACATTTAAATTCAAATGCAGTACCTACTAAGTAGTAGGCGGTTTCGGACGCAGCCCATGTCTTTGGCCTCCTTGGTAGAGCAACAATTCCTGTACGGAAGATTGCCGGTTCGATCCCAGCTCGGACCGGGTTGAATGGTGTAGGACCATTAAAAGTTAAAAACTCACCTGCTCATGGATATCCAAAAAACTGAAGCACCATTTTGATTCAACACAACAAATCTACTCACGTGCATTCATGAGCTCACCTCTGAATCAAGAACCGTCTAAAATGTGGTACAAAATGACTTTATTAAAACATTTTCTCATATTAAAATTTAATAACTAGAAAACGTATTTCCACATGGGCTAAATCTGACAGGTACTACGTTGTCGAATTCCTCTTGAGCGCCACAGGCAGAGTGAGAAAGTCTTCAGCCAGAATGACGTCCGTCCTGGAACCCTGCAGCACCAGCTCAGCTTGTCTCTTCAGCTCTGAAACATCGTCTTCATCATCATCTCGCCGGAGATTTTCAGGTTTGTATCGTTGACTGAAGTGGTGGAGCACCAGTGTTTTCGCCTCACATGTGAGCGCCACCGCCGCAGCCATGCCAGGAGTGCTGTGTCCATGTTCAACAGCCTTCTCCTGCTGCCCGTTCTCCAGCGTGGCCTCATGCACCAGAACATCAGCACCGTAACACGCCCGTTTAAATCCCTCGCCCAGTGGAGCACTGCAGTCCCCGAAAACACACACCTTCCGGCCCTTCAGCGGCGGCTCCAGCACCTCACCAGCTGTCAACACACGGCCACTATCTAGAGTCACCGACTGTCCGTTCTTCAGACGCCCGTATAGAGGGCCTGGTTTCAAACCTGGAAATACGTGAGCAAATGTTATATGTTTGACAAAAACACAGTTCATATTGCTCAAAACATAGGGGGCGCCCTTGTATGTCTGCAATGGAAACTGGAGGTCATCTGGTGGTCATCTCTGGTATTGTGGCCAAACAAAATCTTACTGAAAGCTCTTTTTTTTTTGAGATATCAACTTCAAATTTGGAATGGAAATTGTTCAGATATAATAATAAACCAAGGTAGCATAGTGGCTCAGTAGTTAGCACTGTTGCCTCACAGCAAGGAGGTCACTCTTTTGAGTTCCGGCAGAGTTTGCATGTTCTCCCAGAATTTGCTGACAGTACGTTCACACCGAAAGCGGCGAGCGCGTCCAAGGTCGCTCTGGCCGCTCTGGTGACAACGCTGTCTGCCTTCAGTTAAGGCGGAGAGAGCGTCAAAACTCGCTACATTGATCTCGTATTTAAAGGAGCCGTTGCAGCATATCAGTTATATTCCTGCATAAAACATGTTTCTAGCGTGAAAATGTTGCGCATTTCTTATCAAACTCATATAACATTGGAAGATCAAGTTGCATGTGGTGTGGCTTTGCTCTATTTATCCAATATGTGTCCATATGTCTGAAATATCCTGAAGCAGCTAATGTTATACTGTTATGTACTTTCACATCGCATGAGATTCCTGCTTTTTTAAGATAAATTTATATAACATTAATGAACATCAGTAACTCGCCAGTAACTTATTTAATGTATGTTCCTGTAGGAAAACATTGTAAATAATGAAAGCTATGACGCCGAACCACGTCATAGCTCATTACCATAAAGTTGACTTCATTTCAACTCTCCTCGACGCTCATGCCAGCGAAGACGCGCCGCGCTGCTCCTCGCTGTTTATTGCCGCCGGCTCTCATTGAAAATGAATGACTTCCGGCTATTTTTATGCTCTCGCTGCTTTCGGTGTGAACGTACGGTCAGGTTTCCTCCAGGTGCTCCGGTTTCCCCCACAGTCCAATGACATGCGCTATACTATGCACTATACCCATACCAAGAGTGTATGGGTTTTCCCAGTACTAGGTTGCGGCTGGAAGGGCATAAACAAATGCTGGGATAGTTGGCGGTTCATTCTGCAGTGGTGACCCCTGATAAATAATGAACTAAGCCAAAGGACAATGATTGCATGAATGAATAATAAGCATACACTACTAATGGTTGGGCCTATAGACAATGCTATCGCTAATCGCCTATGGGCGATAGACATCACGATGCTGAGCCGGCATCACGAAACTCTGCCCCGAAGGGAAAAATGCGAAAAATACACACTTAGGCCCCATTTACACTAATACGTCTTAGCTTTATAATGGCATTTTAAAGTGAAAACGATCCACACTGGCTTTTCATCTAGCACAGGGTTTTTCAAAGTCTAAGACAGTGGGCCTCCCTTTTGACACAACTTATCCATTGGCGCCCCCCTCCTCCCAAACACGCACGCACGCACGCACGCACGCACGCACGCACACACGCACACATATATATATATATATATATATATATATATATATATATATATATATATATACACAGTATATAAAGACACAGACAGATGTCAGACTGTTAACTCACTTTTATCATCATTTGCATGAAAGTGCAATTATTTACAGAGTAATAACAAGTATTTTAATATAACGTTTTTAAAACTAGGATGATGGTTCAATATGAATAGAACAGATCCAAGAACAGTTCATCCCAGTCAAAACAGTCGAAGTTTAGCCGGTCTCATGCTGTCATTAGCCAAAATATTTTGACAAACCACACATAAAGGTCGTGGTTCATCAGCTGGTCCTGTCCACGTAAATCCTAAACTCAAATACTGATCATCATATCGTCGTCTTTTGGGTTTAAGCCCTGAACTTGAAGGCTTTTGTGGCGAGGGGGCGTGGCCGAGAGCCGTGGGAACGGAGTGAGGCCACCGCGTAAGTGGATACACCTGCGGTGCGCACCTGCCTCAGATCCCACGGAAGGAGGTCTGGATCATAAAAGGAGGAACGAGGGCAGAGGAAGCCGAGAGAGGACCGGACCCAGACATATTTTACTTTTGCTTTCAGTTTGACGGCGGTCTCCGTGAGGAGCTGCCGTCCGTTTGTTCTGGTTTAGACGGCAGCCTCCGTGAGGAGCTGCCGTCACTGTCATTAATAAATCTTTTTAAAACTGCGTCAGTTCTCCACCTCCTTCTTCCCGGCGGCCAAAGGGCCGTGAACTTCATTACAGCTTTGAATCGGGGGCGTCTCAGAAACCGACCCATTGTATTAGCAGGCATATACCTGCATTGGCGGGCTTGCCAAACAGAAGCGAATTCACAGCTATGGCCTTCTGGGTAAAGGTTTTCTTTTATTTGACGTATTATTTTTTTTGCTTTGTTTAATTAAAACGTTTAAATATAATAAAAAATACATATAATAATTAAACTTAATAATTATATTTTTATTATATAATATTTTTTCCCGCGCCTCCCCTGACATGCTCTGGCGCCCCCCAGGGGAGGCGCGCCTCACACTTTGAAAACCCCTGATCTAGCATTTCTGAACAGCCCTCCGTCCACAATATACCGCTGAAAACACACATCATGTGACTACACACACACAGACACACTGTCATGCGCTCGAGACAGCGGGTCTAGGCAGTCAGCGAGACAGTACACTGCTTCAATCTTTCACTTTCACGCTTGTACTTAGTAATTTTATTGAAAACCTCAGACACTGTTTGTGGTTCCTAGGGGCGTTGCTAGACATCAAAATATGAAAAAAAATGCTCCCTCAAAATATAAAAAAAAATAATATGTATATATATATATATATAAAACAAATAAATTATATATAATTTTTATTTAATAACAGTATTATTGTTATTCTACAATTATTATTCTAAATAAATAACAGAAATGAATCCTAAATGTAACTGTAAAAATTACAGGCACAACTGGAGTGATGCTAAGATCATTTAAGAAATCTTTTGCATGAATATTAATTTAATTTGATTAATAAAGCCCCTTAAATAACTTTGGGTTGCCACAGCGTAATGAACCGCCAACTTATCCAGCACGTTTTTACCAATGACTGTAAAAAATATGGACGACGCGACAGCCCCTTTTCCCATTGAACGCTTTGAGGGCAATACGCCTGCTTGACGGGCACAAACTGTCGCAAAAGACTGCTGAAATTGGAGCCTTGACATGCGCAGAAGGACTGTCTGATGGAGCCAGAGGAGGAGCCGCGAAAATGAGTCGAGCTTCCAACCAAACGCTTTATGTAAAATCAACCACGCCCCCCGAACTGCTCAGCATGCGTTTGCTGTCATATCAACACAAATGGATGTAATAACATTAACAAATATGAGGGTTTTATATATTCATTCGCGCCAGCTCCGGGCAACAGCGCATAACCTACTCGCGGCGTTGCGGGCTGATTCCGGCTCGCATGCGGCAGCGCCGGCTCGCTCTGCCGCCGCATCTGGCTCGATTGACTCGGGCTGGAATCGGGCAGTGAGTTCAGGCATCCGGAATAGGTCCAGCAGAGGTAGTCAGTCTGAGGGGTAAGTCTCCGGCAGGCGAGAATCTAGCCGGAACTGGCCCGAGTGTATCGAATAATAACACTTCAGTCTCCTGCCGAAGCTCAGACGCGCTGCTTTGAGAAACTGTCAATCACAGCTGTCAATCACGATGACACGCCCAGCATTAAATTACTGCTAAAAACAAACTGTTTACAAAAATGAAGATCTGCACCTATTTCAGCACAATAATCAGTGCCTTAATCGACCAGAACTATCTTTCGGGACATTTTATTGCAAGTGTAATAATTTTTTTTATTTGGGTTCAAGTCTCCTTCATAAACACGGAGGAGGCGGGCTTTATGACTTGTACTGCAGCCAGCCCCCAGGGGGCGATCTAACGGCCGAGACCTTCACTCAAACGCAGGCTTGCGGCACACTTGGTTTTTACACAGTGGATGCCCTTCCTGCCGCAGCCCATCTCTGGGAAACATACACACACACACACACACACACACACACACACACACACACACACACACACACACACACACACACTCATACATTACGGACAATTTAGCCTACCCAATTCACCTGTACCACATGTCTTTGGTCTGTGGGGGAAACCGGAGCACCCGGAGGAAACCCACGCAAACACAGGGAGAACATGCAAACTCCACACAGAAACGCCAACTGACCCAGCCGATCAGGCTCAAACCAGCGACCTTCTTGCTGTGAGGCGTCAGCACTACCTACTGCGCCACTGCATCGCCTGACAAAATTCGTGTTTACGAAATATAAAACTGATAAACATTCAAAGCTTGCAGTTTCACTTCTGCCTAAATGGATCACCAATTTTTTTCACATCACCTCATACTTCAGTTTCTTATCAAATCTTGACCAATTAAATGCTTTCTAGTATCTGACATGCCCCGCCCCTTCTCATTTGCTTATCATTAATGTGCTTGACCTCAACCACCCTCACTGGCAGAGCCGTGATAAAAACAAAACCCCATTGGCTGTTTTTTTAAAAAGGGGAGGAGTTACACTGTGCCATCCTCTCTTCATGTGTCAGTTTTCAGATTTTGTCAAACCTCAAATAACAAATGCACATTTCAAAGGTCTCTTTAACTCTAGTGGAGCTGTAAAATGAGATTTTACCAAAAAGTGGAGTGTCTTCATAACTTTAATGAGTTACCTAGTTCTTTCAGCAGGTCTGTGTTCAGCCGTCCCGGACGTTCTCTCTCCTCCACCGAGAAGCCGAATGAGGGGACTCTGTGGAAGAGCTTGAACGCTTTAACCACAAACTGTTTGTCATCAATGAGGTGGTAACAGTCCGTGTCGGGGTCTGGATGTACAGTTCTGCCAGGACGCTCCTGCGGGTGAAGGGTTTCACTGGCGGTGGTCAGAGCAGGACTGAGATGCCCCTCTTCAGGACACTGCTCATCGGACGGCTGCAGTTCATGCACAGCATACGGAAAAAGCAACTGCGAGCCAGACAACTGCAACGCCACACGGATGAAGAGTCTCAGTCCTCGCGGGCCGTAAATGTCCACACAGGGCGGAGGCTGATCTGGCTGAGGGTTCAAATTCAGACTGATGGTGCACAGCAAACCGGGAAGACCAAACAGATGGTCTCCATGAAGGTGCGAGATGAACACCTTGCTGATTTTACCTGAAGACAGAACATGGGAAACATGGGTTATTCTGCTAGATATGAAGCTTCATAGTTAATAGTAGCAAGAATGTCTTAAACCAGTGGTTCTCAAACTGTGGTACGTGTACCACTAGTGCAGGGGTCACCAATCCTGATCCTGGAGAGCCGGTGTCCTTGCAGGGTTTAGTTCCATCTTGCATCAACACACCTGCCTGGATGTTTCAAGTATACACAGTAAGACCTTGATTAGCTTGTTCAGGTGTGTTTGATTAGGGTTGGAGCTCAAATCTGCAGGACACCGGCCCTCCAGGAACAACTTTGGTGACCACTGCACTAGTGGTACGCAGGCTTCCTTCTAGTGCAGGGGTCACCAGCCTCGGTCCTGGAAGGCCGGTGTCCCTGCAGGGTGTAGCTCCAACTTGCCTCAACACACCTGCCTGTGTGGCTGTTTCTCAATATGCGTTCTTCAGCGGTCTTGCGTCCTCGTGTTCTCGTGCAACGTCATCATCAGCTGCCCAAGTTCAGTTCCAATACTCAAGACCGCAAGTACGGAGGAAGCGTGAAACTTCCCGGATGTGATCTTGATATCGAGGACGCACTGATGCAGACTTGAGCACCGAACTGGCATTGGAAGTCCCAGAAGTCATTGCGACTGGAGGTGGGAAGCGCAGCATTTTATTTAGATTTATTATTAAAGTTCAGAGATATCACTTATTTACCTCAGGAGTTTCCCTAAATGAAACGGTGAAAGTAAACATTAACATGAACATCTTAATAAAGGAATAAACACATTAAGGGTGTTTGTTTGCTGAAATTCGTATTAAAATCTGTTTTATTCATATTGTGCATTATAGATTTATAATGTTTTTATGCAAAGTATATATTTTGAAAAGGGAAAAACAACAAATCGTTGTATGAAGGCTGTAATGTTTAGGTAATTTCCATTTAAAAGACGTGAAAGTCACGTGACCATCAGGAAGTACGCAGCATCTCAATTCTCATAGGACGCGTTCTCTGCCCTCGCGGTCTCCTGAGTTCGTTCTTCCGAGGACACCTGGCAAGACCGGTCTCCACAAGAACACAAGTCCGTTCTCTGCGTTCTTGGACTTGAGAAACAGCCAGTGTTTCAAGTATACCCAGTAAGACCTTGATTAGCTTGTTCAGGTGTGTCTGATTAGGGTTGGAGCTAAAATCTGCAGGACACCTGCCCTTCAGGAACAAGTTTGATGACCCCTGTTCTAGTGGTACGCGGAGGAATTGCTGAATAATTCAAGCAAAAAATTAACACTTTTAACCCTTGACGCATACGATAACAACAATGTGATCAGGAAATTGATTCTAATAAGCTAAACCTTTTATTTTATTTTTAATTTCCTAATGTTTATTATGTATTCTGAAGCTAAACCCCTCCCCATATTTGTACCGGTTGTTGAGGGCGTATCCTGTATTTTTATATCCCAAAATTGACAGGTACGGTTTAATGACTTGCTTTCTTGACACACAAAGCCTTTAACACGCAGTAAGCAGATCTAATTTCTAAATTAAATATGTAAATACAAATCATACATTTAAGGTTAATGTTAAGATTTCAAAGACATACAAGTAAATCAGATGCAATATCGATTTCAATTCTTTTTCAAAAACATTTTATACATGTTCCTTCTCCTTTATGGCTCCTACACTCTGGAATAGCCTTCCTAATAACATCCGAGGCTCAGACTCACTCTCTCAGATCAAAACTAGATTAAAGACCTATCTGTTTAGTAAAGCGTACACTCAGTGCATCACTTAGCGGGTATCACACAAGTGTCTGCATCTTGCTTATATACACTATGAACAGCAGCTACGCTAATTATTCTCTTTTTTTTTCTCCATTTCCACCTGTGGATACTCATCCCAAGGTCCGTAGATTTTGCGGAGTCACTGATTGGATCCAAGACCAGCGACGAGATGATCCCAAGGTGTCCGGGACCAGGCCGTATCCTGAGCTGCTGCTGCGCTGGTGGACATGGGGGAGTGGAGAGCATGAGACTGATTCCAGCGACGCTCCAGGGACAGACGAGTCTTCCAGCCTCCACCGGTGAGACTGCAGCTCAACACAAGACTTTTGGCCAATGGAGAAATTAAAATGGTTGTGCCGAACTGAGTCTGGTTTCTCTCACTGTTTGTTTTCTTCACTCTCCTATCGGTGAAGTTTTTTTCCCCTCTCTGCTGTCGCCTCTGGCTTGCATGGTTCAGGATCTGAAAAGCTACGCATCGATGGATTTGCTCTTCAGTGTTTGGACTCTCAGTAATGATTTTAAACCACACTGAACTGAGCTAAACTGAACTGAACTTAAACACTAAAAACTGAACTACCATGATCCAGTTACTATAACCATTTATATGAAACTGCTTTGACACAATCTACATTGTAAAAGCGCTGTACAAATAAAGCTGAATTGATGTGAATTGAATATAATCACAAATAGCCTATATTTATGAGGTCCAAGGAACATTTCCAAGTTTTTTTATGACTACACTACTATATGTTATTCCTTTACATTTAAATACAGCACTTTTATTTTCCTATTTAAGAACAGTGCCATTTTAATTAACTTTTAGAAGCATATTTAAATTTAAACATATTTTTTTTATCTGTAAGCATAGTGCAGTGTTAAAGTATAAGCAATTCCTATGATTAAAATGGCAGACAATAATAAATATTCATAATAATAGAAATTAATCTGCTTCATTTTTTAACTGTGCAGAGCTTTGGCTGCTTGATTAGGCCTACTACGCTACTGCATTTCAATATATTATGGTGGTACTTGGAGAGACATTTTTTTCTGAGGTGGTACTTAGTGAAAAAAAGTTTGAGAACCACTGTCTTAATCTAATCTAAGCAACATTACGTAACAATAATATGTAATAATTTCAAGTAAGTGCTGTTAATTTTAACAATTATTTCCCCTTATTTATATACTAATATACACTTGTAATCATGTTTATCTATCCCTGTATATATATTCATATATTGTAACACATACACTTGTAATCATGTTTATCTATCTGCACACTACTGATTATTAATAGCAACCTGCACATATATTCATATATTGTAAATCTGTTCATAGCTTATCCAACCTGTTTATAATGTTCATAGTACATCCATCTGTAAATATCACCATAGTTTTCTATAACTGCACTTTATAACTTATTCCTGTATCCTGCACTTGCTGCTATTGCACTGCTGGTTAGACCTAAACTGCATTTCGTTGCATTGTACTTGTACATGTGTAATGACAATAAAGTTGAATCTAATCTAATCTAACTTAAATAAATGATTAAATATGAATTAAATTAAATACAGATATACTATTTTCAAATATTTGTTTTAGATACAATCAATGTCAAATTATATAAAGATAATAAGTCAATTTAATTAAACAGAAATGTGATTTTAACAATAAAAGCTTTGAACTTTTGCAAAAATGTAACATCATTAGCCCTAAAGAAGACCTTTTTTTCTGACTGACAACTCAACAGTAGAAACCTGCCACAACACAGAGACCCGTGTCAGAGAACAGCAGCGGCAGTGAGTGAGAGTCTGACCGGCTCTGAGTGTGCTCTTCATCAGCTGGATCTGCGTTCCCTCCCCGCAGTCGAAGAGCCAGTTTTCCCCTTCAGTCCTCAACACGAGAGCGGACGCGCCGCGGTGAGGAGACGGGTACGCGGAGCCGGTCCCGAGGAACGTCACATCCATCGACATCTTGCAGATTTCTGGGCATTTACCAGATTAGTAACACATAAACACTGTCAGGAGAAGGATACACGAGCGTTAACCATGGCTATCAGCTGAGGCACGACTGACAGGAGTCGAACACACGCGTTCTGATATCAACATCCGGGGTACGAGCACTGACGAGGACGCGCCTGATGAAGAGCAGACATGCGTAGAAAACTACGGACTGTTGTAAAAGTTGGATTTCTAGTAATGACCACCACCCTCCCTATCCTTAAGTCACCACTAGAGGGCAACGCCTATAAATATTGGAGAAGGGTATTCCTGCACAACTGGAGTGGCTGCACTCTCAGGACCGCATTTTTAGGATCGCATCTTTAGGATCCTAGTTTTTTGTGACAGCGTCAACTGTCGGATTGGATCATGGATTCGCTAATGGACGACACGGATGACAAGGAAAGTGTAAGTACCGATTTTTCTATTAAGTTTTATTTTAAACTGTTAAAATATGTGTTTATTTTGTAATGCTGCTGTTTTATACTGTGAGTTTATGCAGAAATGCCAGATTAGCCTGCATGATTTACCCCACTTTTAAGGGTCTGGGACAAAAATATTACGTGACGATTTTTTTCCAGAAGAAGAATAAAATATTATAATAATAAACATGGATAATTTTACACAGCCAGAGTGAGAGCTGCTATAAATGTTAATAATTTTCTAGAGTTCGTTTTCTAGTTTGATTAAATGCTACGACGTTCCTAGCTCGTGGTTTAATGAAACATTGTTGATTTTATGGCTTAATTGTTGACTTAACGGCTAATGTGCTTAGTGACATGCATTAAACTAAGATGGTAAAAGCACGTTTGATGTGAGAGTTTCAGATTTATCTATATTTTACTGAATTCGTGTTATTCGTTGTATTACATTAGCACATTAAAAATTGTGCTGACTGCCTGTTTGCCCCACGATACTGTATGTGTTATTAGCCTGATGTTTTGTCATCGTTTTAAAGTGATGAATGAGATTCTGAAAGTTAGGCTTATTCTGCAGGTCTTAACCATATAAAATCTCATATCATTAATTTATATCAGGTATGTTTTACCTGGCGAATAAGAAGTGATGGCCAATATGATTGGATTGCTTAGGCTCATTGTAGGAGGAAAAGAAAACAAACTACAGGAATATTTTCATTGAGGTTATCTCAAACTGTTGAGTAACACTTTATAACATCTGCATACTATAAATAAATAATTATTAAGCATTTAATAACTAGTTAATTTATTATTTTATTTGTTTAGCATTAACTCTACATTTAATAGACATTGATAAGCAGTTTATAAATACAGTTACAAATGCTAGCTGCGTTCTTGAGTTTATAGCATGATGAGGTGCAGCTTATCTGTGGTGTTCATTTTCCAGAGGAATGTCTGGCCAAATAAGTATATAAACTGCATGCTGGGTGCTACTCATTTATGAATCCATGTAAAATGATTTGCTGTTCTGTGGTGGTATTTTAGTTCATATTTAAATGATTTTTTTTTCATAGGCCATCGTAGGGTCATTTTTGTGGTTGAATTGCATTAATTAAAAAAAGTGTGGATATTTATATAAATGTACATTCTTGAATCATTCTTGCATCTTGTCTCTCTAAAACCTTAACAACCTGGTTTTAAATTAGTAACTTCAAATGCTGATCCCATTTGATTTAAATTTATTTTCTTTAATACTGAGCTAATTAGTTCAATGTAATGGGGTTTATCAATATACAGTATTTTTCAAGGAATTTAAGACTTTTAAGGCACTCAACTCTATTTATTCATTTATATTTTAGGTGTAAATTCATTTGTTTCATTTTAAAATTGTTACTTAAAGCAGGCGTTTTACACTTTAACCTCTGTAATAAAAGTGCCTGAAAGTTTCCGCTATATAATCCAATTCGGTAGGTGGCGCAGTTACAAAACGGGTCCTAGAAATGCAGTTTCACTATGTCATCCAATCTGGTAGGTGGTGCTTCCGCAAAAAACTAGGGTCCTAAAAATGCGGTCCTAAACATGCGGTCCTGAGAGTGCAGTTACTCCAGTTGTGCAGGATCATACTATTGGGAGTAAAAGGCCTTTTGTCTCGTTTTACGCTAAAAGCAACAACTAAAAGAATGTCAAAGTTTATTTAACTAAATGTATTTTAATTACATTACAACATCGATGCTGTAAAAATAACCGTATAAAGTGGAAAAGAAACTCACAATAATATGTCACCGGAAGTTTATAAGTATGGGAACAACACTAGCTCGGCATATACCCTATTATATTCATCTGTCTCCATATTCTACTGCATCTCAGAATATTTCACAGCACCAAAATTGTAAAAATATATATTGAATATATTTAAAATGTTTTTGTCCACAGCAGACCGTGACGCAGATTCCCGAGTCTGTGTGCTCCAATCAGGTGAGCCCTCTTCAGCGCTCACCATGACAACGAGACAGCACAGCAGTGACGTACCTTGTACAAATTTGCATATGTATTCCTATAAAGCTCGTCGGTTCTCTGTTAGCATTGTCAGTTCGCCCGGTGTTGCCGTTTGTACTTGACCAAGGTGAGTTCAATACCGACAGTACGAGTGGAGCCACGCCAATCTCACGAAGTCCGCTTCGTGAAGCTTCACCCGGGCCCGTCTGTGCTGTAGTTCCTTGCGGTTTGCGTACATAAACGCAATATCGCGAAGAACATTACGTGTTTGTTGCTCGAAATGTGCCGCCGAGCAACATCCAGTGAATACTGGCACGGCCTGGCGCCCGGTCTTTCCGTGCACTCCCTGGGGCGAGGCGGCCTTTGAGCCCTAGGCAGGGAGCAAACAACCCCCGAGGACCCTCAGGGAAACACGGGGGGCCGGTAGTGGGACCTCGCTGCGAGGGTTATGGTGGGTGGGAGTAGCGAGGCCCACTCATCTTCTATTTTAAACTATAGTTTCAAACTTTAGTTTACAATAGTTTGAAATAGAAACCATGGTAACTGTTATGATTAAAATATGCAAAGAGCTTAGAATGACCGAGAGCAACAGACCCGGATTCCGCCATTTTGAAGTGATCGCGATCGCTCGTCGTTGCTGTCGCGATGGAAAGCAGCTGCTTTGTTTTCATTTAATTTATTCAAAAAGCGCGTTATTGTTTCCCAAATTGTAGAGTGCCGCCTCTTGATAATTCTATGCTCTTTGCTCTATGTCTGACTGTTGTAATGTTTTGCTCTGTTTTTCAGCAGAGCTGTTGAGCAAAGAAGGACTATTGAAGACAACCGCGGGTTATCTCCACGAGCGTGCGCATCATAATGTTTCCGGGCTGTTTTCTGAAAGTTTCTCTTGTTTAGATAAGTTTGCAGGTCAAACTAAATAAACTATACTCTTTCTAAACACCCGTCTCGTGTTTTATTTGTCCTCTACAGGAATACATTGTCATATAAGTCTGTTGAATGCATTTGTATGCAACATGGTTTGACAATACAGTAGTCTAACTAATAAATAGCTGTTATAAGTGTACCTTCATTAGTCAACATTTGGTGTAGGTAATACAAATGTAATTAAAGATGTCCTAAGACATAACGGTAATGTTATGGTTGTTACATAACTATATTTATGATTATTATTCTGTATGTTTAAAACCAGCAGATTAGACTATATATTTAACATGTCATGAACTTACTGTTATTCAAAAATTTGCTTAATAAAAAGTCCTAATACGAGAAGGGGTTTTGTTTTGGTTTAATATCAACCTACTGTAGGTTTTAGGTTGACTACAGCAGATATAGGCTACCTATATCATAATATTGGTAGTCAGAGTTTTTTAATAACCCAATTTAAGTAAAACGTTTCTTACTCAAGTAGACTGCTTTTAGCATGCAAAAGTCAAATTTGAGTATATAAAATAGTTTCCAACTAAATTTTGTCTTGTGAAAATGAATGAATATATGGATTTGTATGTATTTTGTTTTTTAATAATTCATAAGTAAATTACTTGTAATTGTTTTTGTATTGTTACTGATATCTGCATTTTATTAAGTGCATTATTTAATGTAATAAAGTACAGAAACACTGCATACTCTAAAGGGGCATGCTATACAGTATTCATGCTATATACTACTACTTAGAGATGAAGTATGTACACTAGATGTCAGCATAACATCACACTTGATTCTGATCATTTATTCAAGAGCAGAACTTATTTTCTTAAGTTTTATTTTATGAATTAATTCATCATATAACCTGTATATTCATATCAATGTTTGCGTATTATCAGCATTTACTTCAAAGTAACCCAGTAAAAAGCAATAGGGTGATTTTATTAAAAAGGTTATAGTTTTATTAATAATCTAAAACAATATTTATTCATTCATTTTCTTTTCGGCTTAGTCCCTTTATTAATCCAGGGTTTCCACAGCGGAATGAACCACTAGCTGATCCAGCACGTTTTTACGCAGCGGATGCCCTTCCAGCTGCAGCCCATCTCTGGGAAACATCCACACACACTCATTCACACTCATACACTACGGACAATTTAGCCTACCCCATTCACCTACAGCGCATGTGTTTGGAGTGTAGGGGAAACCGGAGCACCCGGAGGAAACCCACGCCAACATGGAGAGAACATGCAAACTCCACACAGAAACGCCAACTGACCCAGCCAAGGCTCGAACCAGCGACCTTCTTGCTGTGACGTAAAAGCACTCCCTACTACCCCACCCTCAACAAATGTTACTTAAATACAATCAGCAATGTGTTTTTTTATTTGTAAATAAACTATTATAATTAGGCAGCATGGTGTTTTCATTTACGTATATAATTGTAATTCTTTTATATTAGCATTAATTGGGTAAGCTAAATTGTCAATGTGTGTGAATGAGTGTATGGATGTTTGCCAGTGATAGGTTGCAGCTGGAAGGGCATTCACTGCATAAAACATATGCTGGTAAAGTTGGTGGTTCATTCCACTGTGGTGATCCCGGATTAATAAAGGGACCTGTGCGACAACCTTTGCTTTTCTCCAGATCGTCTGGGGGGTTGAATCGAGATTGCCATCTTTTTTCAGATTAATCATGCAGCTCCAGTATAGAATATAAAGTCCTGCTGCAGTGGAGACAGAATGAATATTGTGTCTGACTCCATCATGAGCTTGGAGGACTGCTGCCATACATCTCTGCAATGACTCA